ATGATTATGGGTTGGATGTAATGTTTTACTTGTTGTGGCTAAAATAATTTATTTTATTTTTTGTGACTATTTTAGCCAAAAAAAACACCAAAAAGCCTCTTCGCAAACAGAGGCTAAAATGTAGATGTCGCAAAACGCTAATGTTGTTATCGGTAAACTCAGAGTGAGATTGGCAATTACTTTTCTAATAGATTTTTTTGTCAATTTTTTATAAATAAAAAAAATCAAAATACTTTTCACTTAGAAGATTTTTTTAAAAAAAAACTATATTTTAAATACTTATTTAGTTCACTTTTTAAAATTTTTTGAATTGTTTTTTAATCTTTACATCCCTCTAGATTAGGATTTAAAAAAATATTATGAGACAAAATTAAAAAATATTCATTAAAAAAAAGTTGAACTAAAAATATAATTTTTTAACCGTTGCCTGACAAAGAGTGAATCCAATACCAATTTGTTTGAAGAATAATTTGTCAGCACCTTTGCTCTAAAGTTGTGGTTGGATTGGATGAACTCAGTCAAGTCACTCAAATAATCAACCTTCCAAAGTTTTGGGATTTTGAAATTTTCCTTGAGGAACTTTCTTGAGGGGGCCACTAAATAAGACTTTGAATCATACTTTTCATTGTTTTTTTAAATTTTATTATATATATATTCATATATACATATACGTGTTCCGTTCGCCTACTTGGGGCCACTTACGCTGTGTTTAGTTGGAGGATTTGAGGAGGGATTTGGAAAGAGAAAGGGAAAAATTAGGTGAAATGTGAATAAAATGTACCTACATTTCACCTAGTTTCACACACCTTTTCCCTTTTCCAATCCAAATTCCTCTCCAAATCTTCCAACCAAACACAGCATTAGGGTTCGTTTAGAAACTAAGTTCACTCTTTGACTTTTTAATTACTTTAATTTGGGATTAAAAAATATCATTTAAAAATAATTTTTTTAATTTTTTATGAAAAAAAAATTGTAATAATTATAAATTAAATGAAATGTTTTGTCTTATTAAAGTTTTTTTTTTTTTTTTTTGACTATTTTAATAAATAAAAAAAAACTCAAATCTCAACCTCTCAAACCAGCCTTAAAAAGTTTTGACATACTTTCAAAGTAAACTAACACATGTATATGTTCTTAATGCAGTTTGTTTTATATAATTGCACATAAGATATTTATAGTTATTTAGGTTCTTTTTTTTTCTTTTCTTTTTTTTCTTTCTTTCCTTCTTCTTTTACAATCTAAATATTTTTTCATGATGACATAATATAATTGACTATAACTTAAAAGCCAATCTTAGTCCAAAAGTTAATAGGTGTTGTTTGGCAAGTTGGTTTGTGGCTAAAATAATCACAAAAGACAAAATAAGTTATTTTAGTCATAACAAACAAAATATCACATCCAACCCATAATCATTACACTCTTCTCTCACAAAAAAAAAGTCAAAAAAATCAAAAAAAAAGTCAAAAAAATCAAAAAATCCTTACCAAACTAAACTTTTTAACCCAGATTAAAATAATTAAAAAAGTCAAAAAGCCAGCCTACTTCCCAAACAGAGGCTTATGCAGGAGCCTTGTTATTTTATGTTAGTCTAACCTCTTTTTAAAAGTGGTTTGCTGGCCAATTGCGGATTACCAATATGCCCTCACAATCCATTAATATAAGATTTGCATGAGCATATGCGATTCTTAGGGAGGATTCATTAGTTATTTTGTGTTATGTTATCACACTCCGATCCATGGGACTTGGTTTAGGATATATTAATGGAATTGGCACAGCAATGACTGTTGTGCTTCATTTTATGATGTATTGTGGATTTATTTTTATAATTTGAACCGTTCATGTTGTAAGGTTTGTTGAGTATTTCATGTCTACCAAAAATCATATTAATCGGATACCAATAACTATATGATTGATAACCAAAAAAATAAACAAGAAGTTTTTCTTTTGAAAAATAGTATAAAAATATGCAATTCGATCATATAGTTATTGATATCCGATTAATATGATTTTTGGTAGGCTTGAAGTACTCAACAAATCCTACAAAATGAATGGTTTAGATCATAAAAATAAATTCATAATGCATCACAAAATGGAGCACAACATTGACACAGCAGTGACCCCAAGTCCTATATTAATGGGGTTTTGTTACTGACAGTCTTAAAAATTATCCATAATAAATACAATTTGTTATAATTCTTATAATGATTTGAATTCTTTATATTGTAAAATTTTCAAGTAAATCATTCATAAAAAAAATTAGATTAATCTAATATCTATAGCCTCATAACAAGTTCACATTTGATTTGATTTGATTTTTTTTTTTTAATAAAAATAAATGCCTAGCATGATGTTGATAGTTTTGTTAAAAAAATAATTAGAACCTCAGCTCAACCTAATAGCTGCTAGCCTACTATGAGTTTCCCTGATGGTTTGTCCAGTTATATTTTTAATAATTTAAATCGTTCATATTTTAGAACTCATTAAGTATAATATTTATGAAAGAAAAAAAATTAGATTAATTAGACATCCGTATTCCCACGATCAGTAAATTTTTTCGTTATAGATTTAGAAACACCACTTAAGTGTCGTTTGACAATTGAGTTCGGTTGATTTTTTGGCTAAATTAGTTACAAAAAGACAAAATAAATTAAAAAATTAATAAGATAAAATGTCACATTCAAATCATAATAAAAAAAGCTAATCTAACTTTCCAAAAGAAGTCTTAAATAATGTCACATAATATTATAAAACTACCGAATAATAATACTTATTATTATTTTTGTTGGCTTTTGTTGAACCAAAAGGCCGACTTATTAAAAGCCTAAACCAAATGAGGACGAGGTATTATTATGCAATTAACATATAGTTTAATTAGCATCAATGGGCATTCAAATGGGGTGGTGGCTGGGTCAAAATATTGGTACATGTGGTCCTCTTCGATTTTGTTTTAGTCAATTTTAGTAGACCAAAACCAAAAATTGGTGTAGAACTTGACAATCTCACCAACTTATTTAGAGAAATTTTTGAAAGGGTGTGGTTTTTTCACATTATTTATTTTGTAAAAAATTAAATTGATTGAATATCAATAATTATAATTATATATTCATATTATATTTGTTTGATAAAATTGAACGATAGATATAATTTTAACAATAGATTGTCTATTTTTTATTTGAAAGATAAATTTAATTTAATCATTTAACAACCGATGTCTAATCAATTTGATTTTTTATATAAATATTTTTCTCATCCCAGAAAATAAACTATTCATATTATTTGAAGTAAACTCCAAAATGGGCCTACTAAATCCAACAACACAAGCTTAACCTTTTTTGAAACTCTTCCTTGCAAATATAATAAAAAGTACGAAAAGAAATGAAATATAAAAAATTTTAAGAAATGAAGGACACATTTGATATCATCATCGTTTTTTATTTTAGTGCTCTTGAAAAAACAAAAAATAAAATAAAATGAGTCTGATAGTAAAATTTTGTTTAGTAATGGGTTGTTTGGGGTGTCCTAAATAAGTGTATTTTTTGTCTTTTTAGACTAAAAAATTGAAAAAAAAATATAGATGTTTGGGTTAACTTTTTGATTTTTTATGAAAAAATGTGTATTAAAAAATTGTTTAAATTAGTGTGTAGGGGAAAATTAGGATCGGAAGTTGTGCAGCCGTAATTTTTGACTTTTGGTGAATAGTGATAACTTTTTAAGTTTTTGAGTAACTTTTTGACTTTTTGACTTTTTATCAACTTGCCAAACTTGACCTAAATATTTCTAGAGTTTCTTTAAAAATCAAGTTTTAGAAATTGTTTAACAATACTTGAATTTTTCAATTTATTTTTATTAACCAGAAAAATGAAGGATATTTTTTGTAATTTGTCTATTATTTTTGTCAATAATTTATATTTTTTTAGTTCAACCATCTTGGCAATTCAAACCACAAAGTCATAGTATAAAATTCACTTCTAAAAACCAATATGGAAGGAAGATAACAACCAAAAATTTGGAAAATTATTACATGGTACCCCGGTCAATAAAAAATCATAACATGTTTTAATTATTTCATATTCTAACTATCTAATAAATGTGAGTGAATGTCTCATAACTCTTCTATCTATTTGTCCACGTATCACTGATCTGTCCAATGCCTTTGTTAGTTGCTGTCGACACTCATTATCATTGCTTGCTGATCGCCTTCCGATGCCGAAGGCTTTTTCATCGATCGACAATTGTGATGTTTGAGAATAAAGAAAGTACAAATAAAAAAATTGCAAGAGTAAAATTATTATAAATATTTTTTTCACTCAATAAATACACAAAAAAGAAAATTCTATTTTTATATAAAATTCATAAAAAAAAAAAAATTAACAAGAATGATATCACACTACCATTATTATCAATAAATTTATCTTTTAAGTGAAAGATTCACAATAAATAAAAATTATGTATGAATTTTTTTATTTAAATGTGTTATAAATTCAATATTCCAATATATAATGGCGACCAAAACACTACAAAACAAACAAAGCCGTAACAGAGGATAATACTGAATTTTATTTTTCTTTTTTATTGAAAAAAATAAAAATAAAAATAGTTAGTCGGAGGAGGAGAAGCATGGGTTGGACCCAGACGCAACGAACACGGGTTTACCTGTGGTGTGGGCCCAGCATCCGGGCCACAAAAGGCGGTTCCCTTGGTATCCACTTCAACTCAAACAGCCCACTAAGTCCTCCACCTGTCCACTCCACCTCTTTCTTCATTATTTCATATTGGAATACAAAAACATCGAGATAACGCATATCCGAATCTCTCTCAACACGTCTTTCCTTTCTCAAATTCCAACTTTTACCGTTTTTGTCCTTTTGCGCGTCCGAACAACCGGCCTGGCCCGGCCCCGGCCCAATTCAATACGTCGCCAGACTCTTCCTACTCCCCCCCTATATATACCTCTCGTATACACTTCTCTTTGCTTGCAGCTGCGACTCCCTAAGAATCTCTCTCTCTCTCTCTCTCTCTCTCTCTCTCTCTCTCACTCTCACTCTCACTCTCATATCATGACTCGCACCTTGATTTCAAGCACAAACGCAACCAAATCGATCAAGTTCCTCTACAGCTATGGCGGCAAAATCCTCCCTCGTCCCACCGACGGCAAACTCCGATACGTCGGCGGTCTCACCCGAGTCCTCTCCGTCGATCGTTCTATCACTTATTCAGGTTCGTAGCCGTCGATTTTTTAATGTGTTATATGTTTGAGATATTGGAGGAATTGGAGTATTGAAGTGGATTTTGATTGTTTTACAGAGCTGATGGTGAAGTTTGGAGAGTTGTGTGGATCGTCCATGACTTTGAAGTGCAAATTGCCTAATGAAGATCTAGACGTGTTGGTTACGATCGCTACTGATGAGGATCTTGCTAATGTGATCGATGAATACGATCGATTCTCGTTGTCTACGCAAAAGGACATGAAGATCACTGCGGTTCTCTTCCCGATCAAGTCTCTCAAAAAAATCTCCCCTGTTTCAAGCGTCGACGATCTCTGTTCTTCTGGTTCGAGCCTCGATTCCTCTGCAACAACCACATCGCCGACGTACGTATCTGCTAGATTCTGCTCCGCGCCGCCGTATGTGGCGACGGCTCCCTGCCGATGCGGTGGCCGGAATTCCTCGAATTACTCACAGGCCTTTCGATTTCCGTTCGCTGTTCAGAAAGAGTCCGGCGAAGCCATGCCTATGCATCATCATCATCTCTACCGTTGCTATGAACGAAAAAGCCCTAGACAAGCCTACGGTGTTCCTCAATGGAATCACTGCCGGTAATCTGAAAAGTGCCTATGGAAGCTGATATATACAAATATACATACATGCACACACAACAACAACAAACAACGACAATCAGAGATCTAAAGAACAAAAACCCAAAAAAAATAATAATAATAATAAAAAAAAAAATTTGAAGTCAGATTTTCGTGAGTGTGTGGTAGGGAGATTGTAAATTTTAGTTTGAGGACAAATTTGATTCCAATTTTTTCTTTTTTTTTGGGTGTGGTGATGATGCAATTGAGTCCAAATTTATATACAAATCGGTGTTTTGTGCGGCCATTCTTATCCTTTCTCGAGCATCGACTCAATTTTCTTGCCGTTAGGGTTTCGTTAGCATCCGTTGTCGTGTTTGGCCGTTATCGTTATGCGATTTCCCGTTCCGTGGTTCAAATTAGCACACGTAAGTTTTCTTTTCTTTTTTTTCTTTTTCTTTTTTTTCAAGAATTAAAAAATTATAATTATTTGTTAGTGATTTTGGTTTTGCAGGTTTGAATTGGAATACAGTGGAGAGAGGCCCAAACAAAAAAGGATATTCTTTGAGGATTCCTTTTTTTTCCTTAGCTTTGATTTGGACAAAAGTGCGGAGATTTCGCAGGAAGATTACTTTTGTTGCCCCACCTCCCCCACTGAACGTGGAGAAAGCTTAATTAAAAAGAGAATAATGATTAATAAAAAAAAAAGGCTCATTAATTTACAGGAAGCCACAGGGGATGAAAGGAAAACGCTATGTATCGAATGAATTATCAAATTTTTTATTAAAATTTTTTATACGGGTGTGAGATCTATATAAATTAGACATATATGGATTTCACACTTAGGTTTAGCAGAAAATTTAATAATTTATTTGAAATTTTTAGTATAATTCATGATCAAATAATTAAAAATAAAGTAATCATAATTGACCAAAATAATCAAGGGTTAATTACACAGAAATTCATTCAACTCTTACCTAATACAAGTGTGGGGCCATAGTAGACCTCACTCTTTGAAAAAATTATTAGTTGTTATAAGACGCTAATGGCATGTTTGATTGGAAGGATTAGAACATGGGATTGGGATTATTAATCCGTGGGCCCAATTATCCCATGTTTGTTTTGATATTTTGTTTTGGGATTATTAATCCAATGGATAATTAATCCAACAAATTTGTAGGATTATTAGTAATGGGGTAGGGGTGGGATTGTGAATACCACACTAATTTAATAGGATTGTTAATACCTCACTATTAGTCTTGTGGAATCAAACATGGCCTAAGGGTCTATGGCTTATTTTGGAATATTGGTTAAAAATTATTTTTTAATTTTTAATTTATTTTAGATCATATTATTTTTTATATATTTTTTTAAAAAAAAATTGAAAAAAAAAATCAAAATATTAATTTTTAATCATCTTTTCAAAACAACCCTACATCAGTCATCAATAACAATTCACTATACTCTCTCATATTTCTCAATCACTTACTACAAATTTATAAATTTTACTCCATCCACCAATCACAATTTATCATACCCTCTCATATTTCTTATTTACTTAGGGTACGTTTGGGAAGTCGGTTGTGGGCTAATTTAGCCAAAACACGACAAAATTGGCTAAATTAGCCACTACCGTCCACGTGTCCTACTCACCTGCACTAAAGTATAACCTCAACCAGCCAAGTCATGTCAACAGCAAAAAGGAAAACGTCTTTTAATATTTTTAAATATTTTAATTTCAAAATATTACAATTTGAATTTTTTAAATTTTAAAATTTTTTATAAAAAAAATTCAAACTCTATTTTATAAAAATATTTTTAAATATTTTAATTTTTTTGTTAGGTATTTGGTTATGATTTGAGTGTAGAGTTATGAAAGTAGTATGGAGTTTCAAATTATGTGTTTGGTTATAAGTTTTAAAAATAATTTTTTAATTAAGTTTTGTTTTATGTGTTTAGTTACGATCTGAGTGTAAAGTTGTTTTTAAATTTAAAATATTAACATTTTAAATTATTTAATTTTTTTGAATATTTAAATTATTTAAATTTTTTGTTAAAATAATTTTTTGAATATTTAAATTATTTAAATTTTTAGGCTTTAAATTTTTTGAATATTTATTTTAAATTTTTGCTTATTAAATTTTTTAGATCATTTACATTATTTAAATATTTACAATAAAAATAAAATTAAAATTAAATTATTTAATTACACAGGACAATAAAATAAAACCTCACTTTTTATCATTTCAAGAAAATGAAAAAAATAAAAAAAAATTAAACAAAATTTCACAACGCAAATTAAAGAACAAGAACTTATTTCAATGTATAAAAAAATAAAAATGACAAAAACATAAATTCAAAAAAAATTACAAAAATTAAGCAAAATACGTCAAATCAAAATCCAAAATAAACAACTAATAAACAAATAAATATTTTACCAAAATACCCCAAAATAAAACCCAAAAATAAAAAATAAAAAATAAAAAAATTTAAACAAAATATGCCAAATGCAAACCTAAAATAAAACAATAAAAAAAAAGGTTAGCAAAAAACGGCAACTCCAAACCGAAAATATATTTAAAAAAAAAATTAAAAAATAACAACAACTATTTCGGACAGTTGGCTTGCTGACGTGGACGACATGGCCCTTGCAATTAAGGTAGATGTGTTTTGGGAAGGGCACTTTGGTAAATTAACAGGAACACACATCACCAAAAAGTCAAAAAGCCAAAAAAGCCAAAAAGCCCTTCCCAAACCAAGCTTTTTAGCCCCAGGCTAAAATAGCCAAAAAAGTCAAAAAACCAACCCACTTCCCAAACGGAGGCTTAATACAAATTCAAAAATGCTAGAAACCTTAAAAATTTTGTTAAATGTCTTATATGAGTGTGAGATTCACATTGTGAGACATTGGGTGTGGGATTCACATTGCATGGGTTTCACACTCATATGAGACTTTTAGTAGAATTTTTGATAGAATTTTTGGAATCTGTAGCATTACTCATACAAATTTATAGATCTCACTATTTCCACCAATCACGATACTGTTAGAGCTGTAAGAAATTAATGTACATGTGACTATAATAATAATGTGAAATTGAACTTTATAGGATTTTAAATTCAATACAACTCAAAAATAAAACGAACATACATTTAGCTGCCATATAATTAGAGAAGTTGAGAAAATACCCCTAATAGTTGAACCTTGAATTCTTGACTCTTCTTTTTCTCTTTGTCTCTCTTAATTATGATGACTATAGAATTTAGAGTGATGGAAAAATATTCATATCATATAAGGGGGTCATGCATCCTTATATAAATGAGAGAAGATGATCAAATAAACTCTATCAGAATAATTCATATCCATTAAGGTTTTCTTCTTATCATAGAAGAGTAATTATATTAAAATTCTAATTACTGAACTTAATCTCAAATATTAACTTTATCTAATTGTGGAATCCAAATAAAATAAAACATATAAGGAATATGTAGGCTGTTGGGCCACACCAGAAAATAAATCAAACATTTTCCCACTTGGCCCATTAAGCCGATTATGATGAAACTATGATGTTTTTTTTTTTTTTTAAATATGCAATTTATAAAAATTTTGACTCATTGGATTCCACACTAAAAAACTTTGACACGTGATCACGAATTTTAAAAATAGCCAATAAATTCAGATATATTAGAAACTATAATATTGTGAATACTTCAAATCACCAATGTGAGTCATAGCGGTTATATAATATTTATGTCATATTTTCTTCTATGCACCACACCATCAATGACCTTCACTAACCCAGTCCATTATCGGGACATATAATTGGCCATGTCTGGTAGAGCCGTGGAAAAATAATTATAGATTATAGATTATAGCTTATTGCTGTGAACATAAGTTGTTAACCTGATTGGTGTAGTTGTGGGATTATGCATTTAAGCTGCAAAGTAGTGTTTGGTTAATAAGCTGTAAAATAACTTTTTACTGTGTAATTGTCTTTTTTACCCTTATATGATATAAAAATAATTATTTTGTCATTTTTTTTTTCAGTTTTAATTTAAAAAATTATTTCATTAATAAAAGTTAATATAATTAGTATTACAAAAATTAGTATTTTCATTAATAGTATCAATTAGTATAAAATTATTTCATTTTTTCATTATAAATTAATTAGTGTCAATTAATGGCTTAATTAGCATCAATACTTTTTCTTTTTTCTTTTTCTACATTTTTTTTCTTTTTCTCCTTATTTTCTTTTCTCTTCTTTTTTTTTCTTTTATTCTCTTCTTTCTTTTTGTTAATTTTATTTAATTTATTAATTCATTACAATTAATATCTATTAATATCTATGTATTTATATTAATGTTGTGATGTCATTACATGTCATTTCATTTAATAGAAGTTATTTCATTTTTTTATTATTTTGTTTTGTTTTCATTAATATCAATTAGAACAATTGTTTTTTTTTTAATATTATTATTACAATACCAAAGAAAATACCAAAGAAGTTATTTAATTGAAATAAATTTATATTGATATTAATTGAAATAAAATTGTGCAATTTATTTAATTTTGTTTAATTTATTAATTCATTACAATTAATTATTATTATTTTATTATTATTTAATTTTCATTTTTGTTTTCAATTATTATTTTTGTTTAATTTATTTTTTTTTTTCTTCTAACGCCAGAGATGGGAACTGGTTCGTGAGAAACAGAGAGAGAGAGAGAGAGATGATGGCAGGACAACAGCGATCTGGTTCAGATCGAGATGTGTAGGGTTTTGCCTTGAGATCGCAATGACGGTGACTCTGGAAACACAGATCTTTATCTTCGTTGATGATCAACCTAGATCCTCAGCTTCATCAACGAGCTGCCAAAACCTATCGACCCAACCACAGATCATCATATTCATCAACGATCTTCATCCTGCCGTATCGATTGTAGAGCTTCATCTTCATCAACGACCAATCTAGATCTTCATCTTCATCTTCATCTTCATCTTCATCTTCATCTTCATCGAGAGAGAGAGAGAGAGAGAGAACACACCGGAAATCGCCAATCACTCTCTTAGAGAAGTGAACAGTAGGGGTGTTCGCGGATCGGTTTTGTACGATTTGGGGGTCGGTTTTGACCCGCCCGCATCTCTGCGGTTTGGGAAAAAGTCAAACCGCAACCGTCCACAGTGTGGTTTGCGATTTGTACGGATAGGGTTTGCGGATGTGCTGGCGATTACGGGCGGTTTGCGATTTGAATTTTTCATTTTGTATTTTTGAATTTTTCCCTTTAAAAATTAGTTTTTTAAATTTTTTTTCCCC